TCCGCGGTTGAGCTAGAGGCCGAGGTTGAGGTAAAGGCGCCGTTGCCAGCAGATGGAGTGGTGCACGTTGACACGAAGGGGCGAGTCTCCATGTGGTCGCTGTCGGGCTTTTCGGTGGTCGTCTCCATGCTGTCCACAGCTGACAACGCTGGTTGGGCAGCACCACCGGTGCCCGAGACGGCAAAGAGCGAAGCCGGGTACGACTGCGCTGCTGGCGGCGATGCAGTGCGATGGGGCGAAGAGGCAGATGCGCTGGACAGCGGCGACGGAGTAGCGAACGAGGGAAGGGGAGCCGAGGATGTAGGGAAGAGAGCGGGCGCGCTGGCGGCACGCACCAACTCTTGCGCCGCAGGGGAGGCCTCCTGCCGGGCCGGCGATAGTAGGGACGCGGGGACAACGGGCAGGGGTACGGCCTCCCGGCTGCGTCTCTGTCTATCGGAGTCCACGGCTTCGAGCGCCGCCGCGCAGCCGCTCTCGGTGAGACCACATCTCTGTGTCCCTATTTCGGCACAGTGGGGTCATGCGGGTGAGACTTGCACGCACTGCCCCCCCCCCCAAGCAGCATAAGCGACCTTCGTCGAGTATGGCGACAGCGCCCTTCTTGACGCAGGCCTTGACGATGTTCCACACGCACTGAGGGCTCGGTCCAATGCGAGGACTGTAAAGCTTCATAATGGGAAAGAGCTCCAGCGGACCCGCACTCGTTTTGCCCTCCTGGAGAATCAGAAGCGCACGCACGCACACAGGCGATGTGAGCTCAGACCCAACTATCAACAACCAATGACGGTGGAAGGAGCGGTGCCTGGCGCAACAAGTGGAGGGCGATGAGGAGCGCGCAGGGTCCGGTGAAAGCATTCGGGCGATAGACCTGCTTACCCGTAGGCGACGGTGATAGTGGTGACGGTGGCGGTGGCGATGCGCTACCGACTAAGGCAGGGCGCCGCACAGGTGACGCCGCCTCCCCGACGACCGCAGCGCAGCTGCTCGGTATAAGCTCTTCGACCGCGGTTTCCGCAGGTTGTTGTTGTTGTTGTTGTTGGGCGCTGACTTGGGTTGCCGACTCCTCGGAGCTGTGGGGCAGACAACGGCTTAGCTGATGAGAACATGCGGCACATCCCGAAGGGAGAGTCGTTCGTACCGCGCGTAGTTGTTGCAGCGCGCGATAAAGTCAAAGGAGACCAACGCGATCACCTCGTTCGCCCCCGGCATACGCCGAACCCACTCAGGGGCGGTCACGCTGTCGCAAACGACCGTCGCCAGACAAGCGATAATGTGCTTGCACCAACCCCTCTGTCACCACACACACACACACACACACACACACACACATACCACATACACAGGTGAGCAGCGATCTTCTCGAAGCGCCAGCGCAGTGTACCTGGTGGCGTGAGGCGGAGGTTTGTCGGGCGCACAGGCACTCTGCACGCTTGTAATTAGGGCCGAAATCAAAGATCACCCGGTATGAGTCCTCGTGCTGGCCCAGCACCCTAAACTCGATGCGGCGGTCGGGCAGCTCCCGCCGCATGACCACCGCGCCGGCGAGGTAGTAGGCCAGGCCTCGCTGCACAGACCCCCCGTCGGGTGCGTAGACTTCCAGGTACTTCGGGAACAACTCCTTGATGCCGGTCGCACCTGGGGTTCCATATACAGCGCACAGAGTCGGGCGCTGGCTTGGCACGAGGACATACAAGGCCAAGGTGACGTACCGCGCAGGCGTTCGGGCATCTCGCTAGAGGGCGAAGGGGCGGCTGCGGTGGTGCGGAGCCTCTTG